GTACCTGGTCATCCAGGCACTTAAGAATCTGCCGTCAGTTTCGTGCTAGTCTCCAACCAAGACCGCCACTAACATCAGGACAAGGTATAAGAGGATCTGTGACAGGCTTCTTGATGACCCAGTCCTCGGCACACTAAATCTTCCCCTTCCGAATATCAACTCAAAATCAATTACGAATTTCATTGGAAAGCAAGAGACGCGATCAAATTTCCTTGCAACCACTCAACCCAAAGTCCTCCGACATCGGAAAGTCCTTTCTTTTGATCCCCTCCCGGCACCTGTCGAGCTTCCAGAGATGTTGCCGAACCCAGGGTATGCACAGGTTAAGTACAGTGTTGTACCTCAAGCAAGAGAAGCGATCGAGTTGAAGGAGTCCGAGAGGACCAGTAGTGAGCTTCAATTCAGATGGCATGCGTACAGTCTCAGTATCCTCATCAATCTTCCACCTGCCATCTCTAGCATGTTCCCTGCAGTGATGTGCGGCAAACGAGCCATTGATAAAGATGTTGTTCGTATCCTTGATGATCGAATCAACTCAATATCAATGAGCAAAGTTGCCCGCATCCTGCAAAAGGGTCATGATGAGTGGTATGCCAATAGGAGGGAACTGTACCGAACTGTCCTCTACAATGCACATACATCCACTTCTTCTACGGGGCAGGGAGGTATCCTGCCGTTTATGAAAGCTGAAGGGAGCTACACCCCACCCATCCACCAGACTCCTCTGCAATGTGCCCCGGTTCTTCACCGTGCCAAGCTCATCTTGGAGATCAAGAAAATGCCGGTCTACAGGTCCTCCATTCTGAGCATAACAGTAGAAATCTTGTGCATAGATGGCACAAAACAGGTATTTAGTTTTTATATTATTTAAAAAAGTGACCCCTATCACTTCCTCTCTTCGAAATGTAAAATAAGATACAAGAGTGAATAACTACAGACAGAGCACTAAATCACTGAAAATAATAAAAATAAATATATTGGATGTATATCAATGTCCCGAAGAAAAAAAGAAATGCAAGTCTTGCATGATTTAAATCAAACATGTGCCCTATAACAAAAATAAAACAATATCTTTTCTCTCCCTCAGATCCTGAAGAAAGTGTACTGAGATGGCCAGGGGACAATGCAGTTTCTGACGAGTGTACTCAACGTGTGGGGCCAGTTTCTGACCACCATTGCGACTGCATCAGAGTTTGAGAAGGCCTACACCAGGGTGGCCGCGGCTTGATTTGTCAATTTAAGAGTGCAAATGCTCCTGTGCCCAAAATCTTGTACACAGACAAAATTAATATATTTTCTCTCTCACTCTATTTTTTCTCTCAGATCCTGAAGAATGTGTACTGAGATGGCCCAGGGACAACGCAGTTTCTGACTAGTGTACTCAATGAGTGGGGCCAGTCTCTGACCACCATTGTGACTGCCTCGGAGTCTGAGGGAAGTCTACACATAAACAATGCCTTTTAAAATGCTAAAATATGTTGATTTTTTAAAAGTTACTACACCACCTGAAGTATTTATGCTTTACTATTCTCTGTGTATACTTTTACTTCACACAGACCGCCTGTTTCCCTTTTGTTGTGTACTTAACTACATGTATGTTTTGTACCTAACTATATACATTGAATTTATTCCTGGAGACCAGCCCTTGATAGGTCAATGGCCTCTGTTGGCTCCACCACATTATCAAGTATTAATTCTAGGTGCTCTAAATTCTTTAAATATTGTTTGGCTATTTTCTTGTTTTGTTTTGTTGTGTTGTGTTATTCAGATATTTTATGTAAATTGTTATGTTTTTTATGAAAAGTGGAAATAAATGAAATGGAATGAAAAAGTTCCTGTACAAAGACAACTGTTGTAGGCGAGTTCAATTTCTAAATTACTAAATTAATATGAAATATACACTACAGATATTTGTATTGAAAGTAGGTTTTGAATTGCAAAAGATTTTGTGTGTGTGTTTTGTGTTTGAGGAATGGTGGCACCTCTTGGTTGGAATCTCTGTTTCAGGAGTGGACGGACGGGGGAATGGTCTTGCGACTTGACGTATGGCATTGGTTGCATCGCTGGGACGCGGTCGTCATTAAGCAGACACACATGTCTGCTTAAGTATGGGTCATTCCTCAGTGCACCTGCTAGCGTTATTCTCGCTTACAACCACGACGATCTAACAGCGCTGATCAACGCCTTGAGGAAGGATGACCCCCTCTTTGCCCGCAAGACAGACGCTGAAATGATGAGCCACATCAAATCCCACCAACTCAAGAGCTATGTATGACGCGTGACCCGTGGTGTCAAGGTGAGTTTCCTTATAAATGAATGTTAGAAAGTGGGTATACATATTAATATTTCTTTCTCTCATTTTATTTTTTCAGGTATCACTCATTGCTTTTCCAGTGCAGTGAAACAAGCGAATGGAGGCTCGGAAGATGATAATGAATGTGAGGAAGACTACAGGTGTATGTTGCTATAAAGAGATGAAAGTGCATGCAACATTTCTATGGATAAGGCTAAATATTGAGGAAATCTCTAAACAAAGCAAGGTCTGTAAAAGGAGAAAAGATGCTAGTATGGATGTACTAGATAAAAACCCTCATCAATCGGACAATGTAAGAAACAAATGGCTAAATATTATATTTAAAAAAATATCAATTGAAGTCCAATGAGGCCAGACTCCAAAAAATGCCGACTTAAACAACTATGATTTAAGGTCAGGTTAAAAGTGTCATGGAGTCTATTCCAGTGGAATGAATAGCATTGGATAATTAGGGAATGGAAAATCAAAATCCACCTAAAAATACATTTTCATTTGTTTATGCCACATTGTCACTTAATACTTTCACAGTGTAAAGACAATTTCAATGTAACTGTCCATAGCATTTCAAATGTAAATTTTTTTTTCTTTCTTTCTATAATTTACTGTTTTTAATATATTCAATTGAATTGTATGATTATACTTATGACATTACTTGCAGGGCCTCTTGGAAGACCCACTTATTTAGAATGGGCTGCCCTCTTAATAAATATACACATGACGCAATGCCAAGTAGAATCAAGATGATGCCACTCTCCTCCAAAAAGACTGAGACAGGATAGTGGAATGGTCACATAAATGGCAGCTCAATGAAGAAAAGTGTAAGGTGATGCATTTTGGCAAGTAAAACAAGAACTTCACTCATACAATGAAATGTGCCAATGATAGAAAACACGTATCAACAACAGATGTCTCTGCCAATGAAAAGGATCTTGGAGTGATCTTCGATTCCAAACTATTATTTAGTAAACATGTTTTGGACTTTACCAAACGAGCAAACATGAAGCTTGGGATTATTAAGAGGTCTTTTTTATCTTTGGGAACCAAACGATTATTTCAATTGTACAAGACCACAGTACTCCCCACTCTGGAATACTGCAACACTGTTTGGAAGCATAAGCTTTTAAAGATGAAGGTGATCTGGAGAAAGTCCAGCGAAGAGCTACTATGCTCATACCAGAGATTAAACATCTTAGTTAATACTTAGGCAAAAAGCTGACCAAATCCAACTATACAAGATCATGACTGGACGAGAAGATGTACAGAGAGATATTATTCTCTATGAACAAAGAAAGTAGGGCAAGAGGTCATAGCTTCAAAGTTGAGAAGCCACATTGTAAGACACATTGTTAGGCAGAGGTCCCTTGCTGTTTGCTCTATTAACAACTGGACCGGGATAACCCAAACGACCAGTTCAAGCTAGGCCATCTATTAACAGTTTTAAATCTGAACTTGAAAATAATTGGCATCATCATCCTGTCAAATATAACCCGTACAGTATTAACAAAAATAGTGCTGTGATTGTCAAGATGGGCTCATAAGCTGATGCTTCAAGCCTCAACAACCAAGTCAGAATGAGCAGGAGTTGAACCTTGGATTCAATTTTAAAGAGTACAAGATGACGCACGAGGTCAAACAGGCAACAAAGCAAGGAATATCTAGAATTGTATCAGTAGTCCACAAACCATGCAGCTACATGTAGGAAACCCCACTTGTAAAAAAAAAAAAAAAGAAGAGGATGACTCATTAACAATAAACCCTTAACATTTACACTTATTCCATTCAGTTTGAAAAGGTGAAGATTGAGATCTTATTTGATAGGAATATGTGTACACAAAACCTTCTCTTGGTTTTCTTTTAAAGCTGTACCTTATTCTGTTTTGTATTAATTCATTTTAATATGTTATGTTATCCCGATTTATGTATTATATTCAAAACGAAATTGCATGTTTCTACCTGTAAAATATGTTTTTAAAGATGGAATTAAATAAACTGAACTTAAGTGAACAGTGCCCTTGAACTTTTTTTCTTTCACAACTTTAACAATATGAAGCCTTTGAACTATAGGCAGGGCCTTTGTACAAGTCATCTACCATGGTGTAATTTCTCTCATTTTGAAAAGATCAAGACTGATGCGATTACATGTATGCAGTAGATTGATCGAATTCTTTCATCACATGTAATCACATACCATACCTGCCAACATTTGAAAATGAGAATTAAGAATGGCTATAAGAATCAGAATTTTGAAAATCTGGGATATCCCGCATTTTGGGGTCCTAAAAATCCAGAAAAACAGGATATTCCGGATTATTCGGGAGGGTTGGCAGGTATGACATACATGTACATGTACATCCATGCACCCATGTATTATGCCCTATAAGTTCGACAGGAATCCATCAATAGGTTCTTGAGTTAACGTGATCACAAGCTGTTTTTGCATACGTAATAAGCCCTGTGACCTTTGACCAAATGACCCAAAAATCTAATCAATTCATTATGTCTGCAAGATACATACTGGACCCAAGTTTGGCGGGAATCCATCAATCGGTTCTTGCGATAACGTGATCACAAGAAGGGGACGTACAGACATACATACCCCTAGTAAAATCTTACCCCTAGTGAAATCTTACCCCTAGTAAAATCTTACCCTTAGTAAAATCTTACCCTTAGTAAAATCTTACCCCTAGTAAAATCTTACCATTAGTAAAATCTTACCCTTAGTAAAATCTTACCCTTAGTAAAATCTTCTCATGAAGTGCAGACATGGGTCTGACTTTTCTCACGTGAGGACGATCACACGGTTTTCAAGATGGCTTTGCTCGGGAAACCATATCATACATCGGCAGTCATAAGGTTTCTGGCCAACGTAGGTGGTCCTGGCATGTCGGGAGAGATGACCCCTGTAAAAGAATGTCTTATTACAGCCATCCTTCTCTTGGTAACCTTCATCATGATTGGAAATATCATTTGGCTCGTCAGGTGATTGGCAAGCTCCAGACTTCATTTCACATCTGTGAAGAAATTGACATAGATACCCCACAAATTATGGCAAAGACTTCCCCAAAAGACAATTTCAAGAGCATTGTCAATCATCATTTTGAAATGTTTGAAAATTACAGTGACGTATTTTGTTATCAGTGCCCTGTATATAGTTTAAAATAATGCTAACAATCAATCCTATGCTGGCACTGTATAGCTTCTCTTCTGTATGCTTCATCATATATGCTAAGTGAGGTCACTACCCAACATGACTGGCTAAGCACCTGCGTCCAGAAAAAGCGTAGAAAGGGTGTCTTTTTCAGCTACACAGCATCGTCGCAGTTTTCCTCAAAAAGGGTCGTTTTTCAAGCACTGATTGCACAAAAAAAAGGGTATCTTTTTAGGTTCACAGGTTTCAACGTTTTCCTTAAAAAGGGTCATTTCAGAAAAGGTGGGATACGCCATTAGGGTCCATTTCAGAGGTTGATGGACACGGTGGATAGCACTTTTGTATGAAAGTGACCCCCTGGGGGTCACTATGTCTAGTTACAAAAACTTACCCCTAGTAAAGTCTTACCCTTAGTAAAATCTTACCCTTAAAAAAATCTTACCCTTAGTAAAATCTTACCCCTAGTAAAATCTTACCCTTAGTAAAATCTTACCCCTAGTAAAATCTTACCCTTAGTAAAATCTTACCCTTAGTAAAATCTTACCCTTAGTAAAATCTTACCCTTAGTAAAATCTTAACCCTAGTAAAATCTTACCCCTAGTAAAATCTTACCCTTAGTAAAATCTTACCCCTAGTAAAATCTTACCCTTAGTAAAATCTTACCCTTAGTAAAATCTTACCCTTAGTAAAATCTTACCCTTAGTAAAATCTTACCCTTAGTAAAATCTTACCCTTAGTAAAATCTTACCCTTAGTAAAATCTTACCCTTAGTAAAATCTTCTCATGAAGTGCAGACATGGGTCTGACTTTTCTCATGTGAGGACGATCACATGGTTTTCAAGATGGCTCTGCTCGGGAAACCTTGTCATATATCGGCAGTCATAAGGTTTCTGGCCAACGTGGGTGGTCCAGGCATGTCGGGAGAGATGACCCCTGTAAAAGAATGTCTTATTACAGCCATCCTTCTCTTGATAACCTTCATCATGATTGGAAATATCATTTGGCTCGTCAGGTGATTGGCAAGCTCCAGACTTCATTTCGAATCTGTGAAGAAATTGACATAGATTCCCAATAAAAGATGGCAAAGACTTCCCCAAAAGGCAATTTCAAGAGCATTGTCAATCATCATTTTGAAATGTTTGAAAATTACAGTGACGTATTTTGTTATCAGTGCCCTGTTTATAGTTTAAAATAATGCTAACAATCAATCCTATGCTGGCACTGTATAGCTTCTCTTCTGTATGCTTCATCATATATGCTAAGTGAGGTCACTACCCAACATGACTGGCTAAGCACCTGTACCAGAAAAAGCGTAGAAAGGGTGTCTTTTTCAGCTACACGGCATCGTCGTAGTTTTCCTCAAAAAGGGTTGTTTTTCACGCACTGATTGCACAAAAAAAAGGGGGGATCTTTTTAGTTTCACAGGTTTCAACGTTTCCTTTAAAAAGGGTCATTTCAGAAAAGGTGGGATACGCCAATAGGGTCCATTTCAGAGGTTGATGGACACGGTGGATAGCACTTTTGTATGAAAGTGACCCCCTGGGGGTCACTATGTCTAGTTACAACAAGAACACTCAATGGCTTTTCCAGTGTGTGGCTTCTGACATGACCAACCCTTAGTAAAATCTTACCCTTAGTAAAATCATACCCCTAGAAAAATCTCACCCTTAGTAAAATCTTACCCTTAGTAAAATCTTACCCTTAGTAAAATCTTACCCTTAGAAAAATCTTACCCTTAGTAAAATCTTACCCTTAGTAAAATCTTACCCTTAGTAAAATCTTACCCTCAGTAAAATCTTACCCTTAGTAAAATCTTACCCTTAGTAAAATCTTACCCTTAGTAAAATCTTCTCATGAAGTGCAGACATGGGTCTGACTTTTCTCATGTGAGGACGATCACATGGTTTTCAAGATGGCTCTGCTCGGGAAACCTTGTCATATATCGGCAGTCATAAGGTTTCTGGCCAACGTGGGTGGTCCAGGCATGTCGGGAGAGATGACCCCTGTAAAAGAATGTCTTATTACAGCCATCCTTCTCTTGGTAACCTTCATCATGATTGGAAATATCATTTGGCTTGTCATGTGATTGGCAAGCTCCAGACTTCATTTCACATCTGTGAAGAAATTGACATAGATTCCCAATAAAAGATGGCAAAGACTTCCCTAGAAATCAACTCTACGCAATTTCAAGAGCCTTGTCCCCCACTTTTTGAAATGTGTGAAAATTACAATGAGGTATTTTGTTATCAGTACCCTGCATATAGTTTTTAAAAATGCTAACAATCAATCCAATGCTGGCACTGTTACTTAAAAAGTTCCAATTAATTGTATGTTATGAAAATTCAATCATATCTCCTTCATTTAATAGTGACTTAATAAAACTAAATAGTAAATAATTGCATTTACAAATACAAATACAGACTCTTTGTAAATTTGTATGTAACAGGGCCTAGATTAATTAATGTATTGAAGCCCTTCTGCACTAGTTGGCCAAGAGGGATTAAACCTTCCTGCATGGTCATTGACAGGTGGTTATCTCTTAAATCAGCTCTCAATTAACTTAACCCTTACCCGTACTGGGCTATTTTGAGCACCTTACTGACTGGGGGAGGGGCCTATGATCTCGGCCGTTGAATGCCTGATGAACAGGAAAATTTGCATGTTTGTAGATATTTACATGTACATAAGGAACAAGATAGTATAATTTGTTTTTTTCCTAATATGCAAATTTTTGTTGTTAAAGCCTAATTAAGTACAGTATGCAAAATGCCAATTTTATGCATTTTACAGAAAACTCGACATATTTGTCTGTAGACTTGTGAAGAATCTTGAAAATGTATTGAATAAATGTTTCTTTCATCTCAAATCCATGAGGTTTCATAATTTTTATGATATTTGAAAATGCATAGGTTAATTTGAACCAGAACGTCAATGACGTAGAGCTCATCCGCATCTCGCAACAACAAATATCGTAAATTTTATGTGGTACACTTTTGAACTGGTCAAAAAATAAAAAATTTGATGCCCTGGAAGGGACATAATTTCATTTAGCTGTACAAGATTAAATAGAAACTAAAGGAAATGTAATGAAAATTGGTTGAAAAATATATAGTTTTATGACAAGCAGGACTCGAACTTAGTAAGAGATAAATGTAAACATACTGACCATTTATTATGATAAGAAAAGGACAGAGGTATAAATAGTCAGTAAATTGTCAACAGAAAAATATGACAAAATAACAATTTTGTAAGGGACAAAAACGAGTAATTAATCAATGGAGCAAAGTCTCGAAATTCTGTGTAGAATTTTAGTAAACCAAATTTAGCTCTACCAGATAAAGCAAACCAAATCAAAATAGGTCAAGAAATGAGGGAGAAGAAGCAATTTTTGTTATTTTTGGAATCAATTTGCATAAATTACCATAATTAATCAATGGAGCAAAATCTCAAAATTATGAGATGTTTAGTGTACCAAAGTTAGCTCTACCAGATAAAGCAAACCAAATCGAAATCGGTCGAGAAATGAAGGAGAAGAAGCATTTTTTGTGATTTCCCCTCCTAGCCCTATCATATGAAACAATCAGAATCAAAATAGGTTGAAAAATAACGAAGAAGAAGCATTTTGAAAACTGTGGACGGACGGACGGACGCCACGCCATGGCATAAGCTCATCGGGCCCTTCGGGCTGGATGAGCTAAAAAGCGTAGGTTAATTTGCATTAGCTATGAATACGCAAATTAAGCATTCATGAATATCAAATCTGGAAATAAACAAGGAACTAGAATCATTACAAAAATTGTCAGACTCCACTTTTTGAATGTTGAAACTCATTATTATTCATATGAAACTTCTTTTCTAACACAAAATAGTTATTTAGATGTAATTAATAATAATTTATGCAAATTTGATGCAATTTTCAAATATTTATTTTCTAATGTATTTTATTGTTTTTTATTTCTTATTATATCTATTGTTTTGGAATACATCAAGTTACTTTGAGAAACATATAAAAGCAATTTGATATCAATTCATATCTCCCACTTAGGAAGAAATACATCTAAACCTGTATTCACATTTCTGCTTGTAATAATAATAATAATAATAACAGGCATTTCTATAGCGCCGTCTATCTAGATAATTCTATTGCGAGGCGCTTTTATTATTACCCCGGCTTTAGCCTAGCTGCCGTACATGAATACATGTATATAATTATAGCACTTTTTGACGACATGCGCATACTAATTGTTATGTAACACCTTACAGATATATCCGATTTCAACGAAAATGATATCAAAATGTGTGTAAGACTTGAGGAAAAAAAGTCCTGAAATGACAATTCAAAATTCCACTGCAGCGGTAGCTAGGCAATCTCTGAAAATGTCGAGGGGGGGGGGGGCTCCTCCCCAGTACGGTAAGGGTTAAAAAAGAGGGAACCATGGGGGACCAACGGTCGTTGATCAGGCATAGACTGCTATATAGAGGGCGCAAGTCGTTATAAGTAGTGAAGTGGGGCTTTAAGTACATGTAGATACTAGATAGCCCCACATTATGAAGATAAATATCCAGGAAATGATATGTTTATGTTCCTCATTCAATGGTACTAAATGGATGGACATTAGAATGACGACATCAGCTGTATGGAGCCCAAGGTTATTAACTCATTTTTCAAAAAAAAATTGGGGGGGTCAGATATTTTTGGTGTTAGAACACATGCCAAAAATGTACCCCCCCCCCCCCCCCCCCCCCCCTCTATGGTTCAGGACTGACCAATGCCAGCAGGGCAGAATGATGGACGGTGCTGTGTTATTGCTCCAGGCTATATTGTTATGTAGTACTTGTATCACTCCCCCTCCCCAGGGCTCGAATTACCCACTGGCAATCGGCAATTTGCCGCCATGCCCCTCTCACTGGCCGGAATGCCCTTTTCAAAATCAAAACGTTTACGGCCACAATATTTTAATCCACAAAAGTTTTGCCGACATTATAGTCATCATAAGTCAACCCCGACTTGTAATGTGCCCCTATTGAGATCTAAAAACAATAATTATCGGCAAGGTTTGTTTCACCTACGGAGATCAAAAAAAATAATTATCGGCAGGGTTTGTTGCCCGTACGGAGCTCTAAAAACAATAATCATCGGCAAGACTTTGTTGCCCCTACGGAGATCTAAAAACAATAATTGTCAGCAAGACTTTGTTGCCCCCACAGAGCTCTAAAAACGATTATTATTGGCAAGGTTTTGTTGTCCCTACAGAGCTCTAAAAACAATAGTTATCGACAAGGTTTTGTTGTCTCTACGGAGCTCTAAAAATGATAATAATCGGCAAGGTTTTGTTGCCCGTACGGAGCTCTAAAACAATAATAATCGGCAAGGTTTTGTTGCCCCTGCGGAGATCTCAAAACAATAATTATCGGCAGGGTTTTGATGCCAGTGTTTGATGCCCGTACGGAGCTCTAAAAACAATAATTATCGGCAAGACTTTGTTGCCCCTACGGAGATCTAAAAACAATAATTATCGGCATGCCTTTGCTGCCTCTACGGAGCTCTAAAAACAATAATTATCGGCAAGACTTTGTTGCCCCTACGAAGATCTAAAAACAATAATTATCGGCAAGACTTCATTGCCCCTATGGAGATCTAAAAACAATAATTATCGGCGAGACTTCATTGCCACTATGGAACTCCTAAATTAATAACTATTAGCGGGACTTCATTGCCGATATATCTTCATAGAAATGACTGAAACGTTTGCCACAAAAACCGTAATGACTCAGACTTAGTTTTTTCAATCCATCTCCGTCCTTTTTATTAAGACCAATCAATATTGGGAAGTTTTGTATACCCATCGTTGGTTCAACATCTTCACTTCGCGTTGTGACGTTTTTTGGTGCGTTTTCAGAGTTTTTAATCAGTGAAAAACTTGGATTTTTCTCTGGAGGAGGGTCGGGAATCAAATCAGAAAAGGATTAAGAGTTGAGATAATGGTACATCGAATCGTCTTCTTTCCCATACGTTTTAATTAAAAGTGGGAATTGATTTCAGAAAAGGATTAATAGTCGAACGGTATAATGAATCGTCTTCTTTCTCTAATAATTCAATGAAACGTCAAAGGGGGAAACTCCCCCACTCCCTGCAGGCCTTCACCCACCCCACCCTCCACGCACCCCACTGCCGGATCCAGCCGGCGGCAGGGGAGGGGACCAAAGAGGGGGCCCAATTCGTGGGAGAATATAAGGGGGGGAGGGGGGGGGGGGGGTAGTGAGCACTTTTTTTTTTTTCTCCCGAAAATTTGAAAATCGCGCTGGCCGATAATTCGCTCGGGGGGGGGGGGAAACGGCGTGAGGTGATTTTACTCTTACTTTCAACTTTGGCCTTAGTGCCCCTTAGGATAGATTTGTGCCCCTTTCAGTGGATTTGTGCCCTCTCAAAAAAGTGGCCTTGACCCAAATTTGATGTAATTCGAGGCCTGCCTCCCTTCAATCATTCACCTTTCATTCACCTTTGTCCCTCCTCCATGATAAAACAGAACCCCATTATCCCATTACATTTTATTATAAACAATTGACCATTAATGACCACCCCAGAGTTAGCTTCAAGGATCGAACCACATTTCAATAACTGACTCATACTAGGCCCAAACCCCAGTCACTTTGCACTCTCCATTGCCACTCCCCATACTACCATAGCAACCCTGACCAAATAAAGAATCACGCCTAATCACGGAAACTGTTGTGTGTGGACAGGGGGAGTGTAACTAGTGTAACTAACTGGGCGGGCTTAACATGACCTCGAGCGAAAGGAGACCAGACCTCTCATTTTCGCTTCCATTTCATGACTGCAGTAGCAAACTGTGCACCTATACGACATTTCACTGTAGAGTTTCAGGATTACTTTCTTCTGTGTGTGGACATCGTGGAATTTATACAATGATTCTTTATATGACGTTTCGTTATAGAGTTTCGGGATAAATTGTTTTGTGTGTGGACACACTGTAAGTCATCCATCCCAACATTGTTTCTCTCCCCAAAACTTTCCATATTGTAAAGTTTGCTGGTCATAAGGACTTTGATTTCAGCCATCAACCGCTGAAGATAATTTA